AGTCCTTTTATCAGTCTAGGATGGAGAGCCTGGTTGCAGATTTGCAATCCAAGCATCTCCTCGAAAACGACGACGGCCGGCAAATCTTTCGAACACCCGCCTCACAGGTTCCACTTATTATGGTAAAGTCGGACGGCGGCTTCACATATGACACTTCCGATTTGACTGCGATCAGACAGCGGATCCAGGAGGAGGGTGCAGAGCGCATTATTTACGTTGTCGACTCTGGCCAAGTAATTCCTATTAGAGAGCTCGCTTTATTCTCTTCACCTTCATAGGGTATGCACTTCGACACTATTTTTTCCGCTGCTACAAAGTGCGGCTACCTCGTCCCCGGTCGTGTGACAGCCGAACATGTTGGCTTTGGCCTTGTTCTCGGCGAGGACAGGTATGTCTTATCTTCTTCTATTTTAGTCTTTTTGTGTCTACGCGCTTCAGTGTTAGCATTTATTTCTGTGTGTTTTCGAATACCTTAAACTCACACATTTTATTCCTTTATCAGGATTTGTAAGAACCAATTCGTTAGAAAGAGAACATAAGTTTCAAAACGCTTCTGTTAGCCCTTTATGATCACCCAAATCCCCAAATGCACAGTGATCTGAACAGTTAGGCAGTCATACCAAAGTCTGTTTTAAATATACGTAATTGTCAATGCTTTATCTCTTCACTGTGTTGCGTTTACTTACTCCTAGCAGCATACGTAATAGTCTTCCCAGAGAAACGTGATCTCAGTTTTTATAATCCAGTGTTTGGAAGGATAAATAAACACCAACCAATTTTTGCCCCCTGAATTTGAGGGTATGCACAGTGCAGAGTTTTTTTCTCTCGTGTCTGAGAATGTTGTGGCTCATCAAGCGGCCAGCTTAATCTATTCATTTAACAATTTTAACTCAGCTCCCGTCTTTAGACGGTTGGGGTCTTAGAGCTGGCAGGCTTTCAGACCTTTATTTACTCCTGAATTCGGAAAATGCTAGTTGAAAATCTGTAGTTGAAGGTAGTCGAAAATCGGATTTTTTAAGCTGGTTTAGGGAGCCAAACACGCAATGTGATTGTTACGTCTCAGGAAATCCGAAAACATCTGGCGAAAGTCGTACCAAAAACGCCAATGTTGCCTTGGTTGATATGCAGTCCATTTCAAAGGGCAGTGTTCCCTTAGCTTATAGTCAGTTTTTATTCCCTGGGATGAAACATAATAAGTACTCTAACACTCGCTAGCATTTCTCGAGGAATGTTCACTTGACCGCTAATGGGATTCATCTGTCCCGCTCTGACTTGGGTCAGAGGCCCTGGCAGCTGTAACAGCCATTCCAGTCTCCCTTGTCTTTGCCGGCAATACTATCTGCCAGTACTATCAGCTGTTATGGCTGTCAGGGCCTCTGGCGAGGACCAAGTCTGAGCCGGACAGATGAATCCCGTTAGCGGTCAGGTGAAAGTTCGTCGAGAAATGCTAGTGAATGTTTGGGTTATTATTAAGTCTCACCCCAGGGAAAGACACAGTTTCTCAATAAGTACAACTTCTATCTTATTCGGACGTTTTTAAAGTATTTTTGGGCGCTTTATCATCTGTTTTAGAAAGAAGTTTAAAACTCGTTCGGGATCTACTGTGAAGCTGGTCGATCTCCTGAACGAGGGTGTAGAACGTTCGCTGGCAAAGCTAAAGGAGAAAAGGCGCGACAAGGTAGAACACACTTTTCTCATGTGTAAAATCTATGATTTCGGGGGTGTGTATGTTGAGACTACAGAAACGATAGTAGTACCTCATCTGTTTGCAGCGCAGATCTAACGACTGCGCTTTATGCCAGACCGTTCCAGTTCATGCCCAGTCTTTAGCCGGCTTTCATGTCGTATTTTGATCGGCGTGACGAGACTGTCTAACCAAATTGCACGATTGGAGTATCTGTTGGGACCTCACGTCGTTTGCCTTTCTCGAGGTCTTATTTCTCTTTCCTCACTTCCAGGAGCTGACTCCCAAAGAACAACGACTGGCAGCAGAAGCTGTGGCCTTTGGTTGCATAAAATACGCCGATCTGGCTCACAATCGGAACAACGATTACATCTTCTCCTTCGATAAAGTGAGTCTGTATTATTTTACATTGGTTGCATGAGTTCACATTTTAACATCTCTAACACGTACTTCACCAGTTTGGCCCATCTAAGAGGCCTGCTATAACCTCTCATGCGCGCCACGCATGATATCACGTCGGGGTCACCAATTTTCGAAGGTGGTTGTGTCTCCTAAATCAAAAGTCAGGGAAGGCAGAATTGGTTGGGAGGGCTTTTACTGCGAGAAAATGAGCTCTGCCACGCGTTATCTAACAGCTTGCCTGAGATAGCAAGGTGTACTGCGAGCTGAGAGTCAGATGCAATTGGCTGGGCAGCCAAAATACTCCATTATGCATGCCAGAAGACAGTACTCAGAGGGGCATTCCTAGCTAACTAAGTGTCCTCGACAGTGACCTTTGGCAGTGTGTCCCCCCACACGGTGATCACGTCAAGTTATCAAGTTAGTGTCAGCGACGACAAGAGTGACTTCTACCAGGTAGGCCTCTACACGGCGGCAGGTTCTGTACTTTAATTTACATTGAGTAGCATCTGTCAAAGCGTTGTTCGAAATTGACAGATAACCTGAGTGAGCGGCGCTATCACGCAAGACTTTAATGCACCTGGGCCATAGATAGTTTCCGCACTCTTATGAATCGCAAATGTGCCAAATTTTTCTCAAGTAGCACCAAAGTAGCCTCAGCGGGACTCAGAGTAAATTTAAGGAAACAAATGTGACAAACTAACCGTTATAGACGAAACATGATCAGGGACGCATGATGTGGAACCTTCATATTTTAGGGGATTACCTACGTTGAGACAACTGCTCTACCTGAATTTGCTGTTATTAAATAGGTTCTACAACCTTAGCTAGTTGGTAAATTCTTCCGTGGCAAGCGACATCGACAACTGCCACTGTTTTGAAAAGAGGACACACAGTAACTAGTGCATGAAATACGTTATAAAAAGTGGTCGGGACAGTATCACACACACCGCACAGGAATTAAATTTTGACCCGGTAGATGATATTTGCAGACGTCGAGTATTTGCGTACTTTGTCTCGTTCGGAGGTTATGTCAAGATAAAAATGGAAAGTTTTGGTCAGTTTTTTGGCTTCCTTAAAATAAGGGATATATTTTCTGCTGAAAAGGAAAGAATTCACTTTTCTATGTATACCGGAACCGTTTTCAGTATATTTGTTTACTTTTAGGCTCAATTCTAAGATAATAAATGCAGATCAGAGTGGCAGAATGTCAACGATGATTTTGCGCAAACTAATCATCTTCTGC